GCTGGTGGGGAATCATTTTTAAATCCCGTTTGTAGTTTTGTGCTGTTTGAATCTATTTTTGGCTTCAAACTGTGCTTAAGGTGGGCTGGTATGCACCTCTCAGCATACCAGGACTTTTGTCCAGGGTAAAAAGAGTACCAATAGTTGTTCTGCTCATTTGTTAGTCAAACTCTATGAGATTTCTGAAAAACCATGTGTCCATCTCCAAGTAAACACCAACAATCCATCCCCCCACCCCCGTGAAAGATGTATTTGATCCTCTAGTTTTTCTATTAATCAATAAATTCAACATGAGAACAAATGCACTTCATCAGTGATGTTGATGAAGAATTTTCTGATCCTGTTGGTCTATTTTATGAGCAGATGACTGTCTAAACCTAATTTCATCACCGTTATCTAAACTGAGTATTGTAGCAATAAAAAATACTAATAATATTAATAATAATTTTATATATATATATATATATATATATATGTTTATGTATTTAGCAGACGCTTTGTCCAAAGCGACTTACAACTGATAATCGGCATGTTGCCCTTGAGGCTAACAACAACAACAACAACAACAACTTGACATATATATATATATATATATATATATATATATATATATATATATATATATATATATATATATATATATTTTAGTTCATCAAATAATTGTTATGAGTTATTATGAAACACCATAAACATCTGAACAGAATTTTTAAATATCGTAATGCTCCTTAAGGGGCTAATGTGAGAGCTGTTGTAGCCGAATGTTGCTGTTGCTTCAAGGGCACAGTGAATGCTGGAAATGTAAGTTTATCTCAGCTGTTTATTGGACTTCTCTGAACCACTGCTTAGGGTAAAATGTTATTCTGTCTGGAGTTTTTTTTAGTTCTGCACACGTTACAATAATAAGGAATCATCTTAAATTACCTCACACAAAGCATCAGGTGCGCAGATGCGCAAAAAACTCAGAAAAATACACGGTTGCATAAACCAGAGACCATGTAACTGAGAAGTTTATTTCTTTTTGGCAAGTACAGGAAGCCCGTATGTCAGTTAATATTGTCCCAATAATGTCCCACACCAGCTGTGCAGAGTGCACTACCTAGCTTCTGCCAAGACATTGATGATGCATTCAATGCACCTCAAAAAACAAAGACTTAGCAGGTAAACTGTGAAATAATCAATATTACCACTGTTTTTTACCAACGAGAAACACAATTGGAAAGATACATAGTGATATAGTTGTCAGTTGTAACCGATGCAACCTGAAGCTACCGATGCAGTGGCATCGCTAACGTTATGAACAAACCACCCGTTCGGATCAGTGGATCTCTCCATCCCTAGAACCAGACATGAAAACAGGTCAGCCACATCATAGTAGCTGCAACAACCAAAACCATTTTCCAGCTGTCAGCGTGTTGGTTCTCTGCTGACACAGTAAGTGACCGGCCAGCACCATATCCAGTGACAAATCGTACAGGGATTTAGCTCCTCAGCCTTCATCAGTTTGTGCAAATTGGGGAAATGCGCGTGTGCAGACTGATTACTACGTCACAGGCTGTTCACCTGAAGAGACACACTACCACTGGAAGTTGTTATATTACTGCTTGTTTTATGTTTACATGACAGTTAGCTTGTAAATGGCTTGTAGAATATCGTTATTAAACTGTAAACAAGAAATTTCTCCCATTGTTTACAGCCATTCACTGAATTATGACAAATGGTCTTTTTCATAAATAAATCATGATAAACACTGTATGTTTGTACTACAGTTCTGTAGTTTTTGAGAAATATCACCTATTTAAAATAAACTGTGCTTTAAAAGCATGATACTAGACTATAAACAAGAGCGGAACTGTCGTAACACGCTGCAGTAGGATGTCGACGAGGAAGCACAGATAGTCAGAACACCGGTTCCACTCGAGCCTCCGCCAGCTGCGGACCGAATCACAGAAAGAAAACCAATATAGTGTAACATAAAGTCAGTGTTAATCAACCTTACCTTTAGCCAAGACTCAAACTTCTCAGCATCCATCCAACCAAGCCCAAATCAATTCGCCGAGCAAAAGACATATTCCGTTGTAACTGTCGGGTCAGCTCCAGGTCAGCTCACTCGTGCTCTGATCAGCACAAACCAATCAGGAAGCAGTATTCCGAAAATCATGTATAGCAGATATGCTACGTTTACAATACTCGTTGTAAGCTAACCGGCTTGTTCTATTATTTTGAAATCAGGTAAACTTCTGGTCACGCGTCAGGTTCCAGCTGATTATTTTTATTATTCATTACCGTTTCTAGTGTAGGGTCGCAGGAATGGTGCCTGTTAGGAGGATTAAGAGTCCAC